AAAAGAAGCTCTTAGAAGAAAGTAAAGTGCACCCTCAAACATGGGTGTGGTCTTTTCACACACAGAAGAAAGGTAGAAAATGAGATACACCCAAGTGGGGTTAGAGCCTCAAGCAAAAATCATAGAATAATGTAATTTGTTGTTGTTGTTTTTGAGACAGGATTTTGAGACCAGAACCACTGGCTGTTCTGGTCCTATCTTGCTTTGTAGACCAGGCTGGCCTTGAACTCATGGAGGTCTGACTGCCTCTGCCTCCCCAGTGGTGGGATTAAATGTATCCACCACTATGTCCAACAAAAAAAAATGTATATTTTTAAAGCAAAAATTATACACAATATTCATCAGTATTACTAGATATTTCATCTAAAGCTTTAATTTCCCTCATGCACACATATTCTACTTCTGATCCAGTTTGGAGAAATTATTTATAAGTCCTTAGGTAATAAGGTTGTTGGAGCCCAACAGCAAAATTCATTTGCCAGGGAAGTCAAAATCAGGCATTCTTTATCTGCATCCCTAAACACCACAAAGGAGGAGCCAGTTTGTGAACCCTTCTTAACTTCTCTACTCAGATAAATGAATTTCATGGTCCCTTCCTTTATTTTTGTGCATGTGTGTAGGTATGTGTGGTGTTTGAGCACATGTATGTGACAGTCTATATCCCCATGCATATACATGTATGATCCAGAGAAAGATTTTGGATATTTTGCTCTATCAGTCTCCACATGATTTCTTTGAAGCAAGGTTCAGTCTCTCACTGAACCCATTTGGGTTGACAGCCAGCAAGCTTTAGTGATCCCCCTTACAGGGCTAAGTTACAGGTGAGTACATGGTTATTCTTGGGTGCCAAGAATTCAAACTCAGGTCTTCATGCTTGCATAGCAAGTCACTAAGCCATCTCCCCAGTCCCCATGGTGTTCCCCTTTCCCTCTGATTTCTGTTTACCATGAATTGAAGAATTTTCAGTACTACAGGCTCCTGCCACCTTGATATCCTGCATAATGCAGTCACTCAACAACAGACTGAATCTTTTGAAACCATGAGCAACAAGAGTTTTCTCCTTTAAGTCTGTCTGATGTCTTGGTCAAAGCTCTTTGAATGTAATTTACACTCTTCTTCATTACAGTACCATCTCTTCACTGTTCAGTCTCCCATTCACATTCTACTATGTGACTCAGGAGCAGTCAAGTAGGTGTTGCCACTCAACACCACCATGAATGGACTTTATTTTCTAGCTAGTCAGCTTGCCCTGGGGATCCCCTGTTTGTACCTCCTGGGTGTAAAGATCACAGGTGGGCTGTCTTGTCTGGACTGTCACATGGGTGCCAGGGACTCGAACTCTGATCTGATACTTCTTTTACCAGTACTTTATTCACTGAGCTGCCTCCCCAGCTCCCCATTATGACAATTTTTTACTTATATCCTTTTGCCTGAGACTACCAGTATCCACACATGCTCTTTATTCCCTTTTTTAGCTCTAGGACATTCTCTTTCTATGTTCGGTTCTAAAGTAATAGGTTTGTGCCAAGAAGAGGGAAGAAAAGAAGCAAAATAACAGGTAAAATGAACTGATGAAAGAATTGTAAATCATGCTTCTGAAACAGCCTTCTTCTTCTTCTTCTTCTTCTTCTTCTTCTTCTTCTTCTTCTTCTTCTTCTTCTTCTTCTTCTTCTTCTTCTTCTTTTTTGTTTGTTTTTGTTTTGTTTTTTTGAGACAGGGTTTTTCTGTGTAGCTTTAAGGCCTTTCCTAGAACTCACTCTGTAACCCAGGCTGGCCTCAAACTCATAGAGATCTATGGTGATATTTTATTTGTACTGAAATGTGATTTTATTTGTATCTTAATAAATAAAGTTGCCTGGGGGTCAGAGCTAATAGCAAGCCATAGCAGAGCAGGGTGTTGGTGGCACACGCCTTTAATCACAGCTCTTGGGAGGCAGAGCTAGGCAGATCTCTATGTGTTCAAGGATACAGCCAGCATGGAGACACATGCCTTTAATCTCAATACCAACCATAGAAGACCTGGAGGTCTGTACAGACAGGCAGTGATGAGGCAGTCATATGGTTGGGTTTACAACCAATGAGAAGGCAGAACAGAAATTTTATATAAAGACAAAAACACAGGAAGTAGGTCTCTTGGTTGAAGAGGATAGCTGCAGCAATGAAGGGTAAGGCTCTTAGCTCTGACCTCTTGGGCTTTCATCTTTGCATTGCCTCTGTGTTTCTTATTTAATAAGACGGTTACTTCTACACCTGCCTCTGCCTCGCAAGTACTGGGATTAAAGGCATGCACCACGACTGCTCGACTGAAACAGCCTTCTTAAATAAGCAAATTGGGCTTAGAAGTCAGATATCAAGTGTCTGTGTTGAGATGACCTTTTCTAATCTTTGTGCACTGGTCCCTAATGCACCTTGCTCTAAGGCAACTCTGCATGTTCTCACTCATTGTGCTCCTTATTCTAGGAATATTAGATTTTTCCATTTCCCAAATACGTTTTTTCCCTTCCAGAAATAAATACATCATTGATTCTTTCAGCAACCACAGAAAAATGACTTTGTAGCCTACATTTTCAATGCTAAATTGAGTTTATTAACACTAGTGCAAGGTCTGTGGGAGGCTTATTAAAGATGTGCTCAAAGAGGCCAGTATTTCTGACAACTTGCCCCTAGCCCTCTTCCTCCATATCCAACTTGGACTTGAGAATATAGCACTGAAAACATAATGTGTATATTGTAGGAAAAATGATAAAAATCTATAGTTTGCATGTGTGTGTACCTACTTGTATGTTTTTTGTGTTGATGTTGTACAGATGCATTTGTGTGTACCTGTGCATGTGGAGGCCCTCAGACACCCTTGGGTGTTCTTCCTTAGGCAAACTCACCTTGCTATTGAAACAGGATCTCTCACCAGTCTAAACTCACCAAACAGGCTAGACTAGACAGCCAGTGAGTACACGGGATTTGACTGCCTGCACCTCCTTGGCACTGGCACTACAAGCATCTACCATCACATATGTGGATTCTGGGTTATTGAGCTCAGGTCTGCATGTTTGTAAGGCAAACACTTTACTGATTAAGCTATTTATTTCTTTCACAACTTTGGAGAGTTTCCTGGAGAAAGTTAAGATCCTGTTAGTTCAAAGTAACAGAATCTCAACTCCAACCAATCTGAGTGAAATGAATATTTTCTTAGAGAACTCTTGATATATCTCACAGAATGCAACACACTTTACAGCAGTCCTCAGAAAGTCAGGGAATGAAAGCAGATTCTGGGGACAAGAGAAACCAAATGAGCAAATGTCATCAGGACTCCCTCCATCTCTTGTTATGCTGTGTACTCCGGGTCACCAGATCTTTATCCATGTATCTTTTACATTCTTTATATGCATGAAGTTATGATCATAACAGATGTTAGGATTTTGTGTTCCTTAGTATAAACCACGAAAATCAGGCTATTTGCAATTTTCTTGGCATCATAACTAAAAGAGCCAGGCAATGGTGGTGCATGCTTTTAATCCCAGCACTTGGGAGGCAGGGGCAGGTGGATCTCTGTGAGTTCCAGTCCAGCCTGGTCTACAGAGCAAGCTCCAGGATAGGCATCAAAACTACACAGAGAAACCCTGTCTTGAAAAACAAAAAAGAAAAAAAAAAGAGGTCATAGAAAAGACATTGCTTATCTTTCTGTTGTTAAAGCAATAAACGCATTGTTGAGGCAGCAGAAAAGTCATGTGGTAAAGGTGCTGGCTGTCAAGGTTGACGTCTTGAGTTCAATACTAGAGACCCACATGGTGGAAGGAGAGAACTGACTCTTTCAAGTTGTCCTCTGACCTCTACACATCCTCCATGGCATGTGCCCCTTGCCACCACATTTACACCCACTAAATAAGTACATAAATAAACAAATGTAAAAAGAATATTTAAAAATAAACACTTCATTGGCTGCCAGGAACAGGCACATAATAACTGGGACCTTTTTGAATCTGCATGGGGGCAGGTAAGATATAGTGAACGGGCATGAACAAAGCAGCCTCATGGGAGCCTTGGGAAGGTGAGCTCAGGGTAAGAGATGTTCAGAAGTTGGGTTGGAGAGTTGCCTCAGCTGTTCGAAGTACTTGCTGTTCTTGTAGAAGACGTTGGTTCAGTTCCCAACACTTATATGGTGGGATACAACCGTCTGTAACTTTACTTACATAGTATCCAATACCCTTTCCAGGCCTCCTTCAGCATTAGGAACACATGCATGTAGTACACATTCAAAGATGTAGGAGAGTACTCCTACCTATAACATGGGAAAAAATAAAAATAAATAAAAAGGAGATGCTTGGAAGCAAGGTAATGGCAGGATATAAAAGATGAGAGGAGTGCCGGCCAAGGGTGTTCAAAACAGTGCCGTTCCCACACTTTTTAGGAGGGGTGAGTGGGGGTGCGTGGAAGGTTGGAAGGTGATGTGTCTTACTCAGATTTTGTTATAAGGACACTATATTGGTTTGTCTTAACTAGTAAACATCTTCAGGATGACTTTGGCACTTTCTGAAAAGGTAGAATTTTCTTGCATGTTAATTAGGGGAGGCATTAATCTTTAAACTATGTTCTGTGTCTGTAGGTTGAGGTAGCTTCCTGCCATCCCCAGAGAGAAGCACAGACAGTCATCTCCAGGACTGTTACTTTTTTCCCTTTCCTTTCAAAGGCCGCCATACTCTCACATGTAAAGGAATAAGCCTTCTGCACTGTGTGCCACAATAAACACAGCATTTTACAGAGTGCTTCACTTCTGTTTAACTCTCTGCAATAGTGCTGAAGCTCTAACTAAAGGCAGAATTCAGCTCTGAGATCCCCACTACCCACAAATGCAGGCAGATCCATATGGTTATTGTATCATTTAATTCTGACAGTTACAAGACTTGAGCAGATCTGATTCCCACTGTGGCTCCCAAAGTTTTTGCTTGCCTCTGTGTTCTAATCGTCTTGGTTTATCTCGTTTATTATGCATTATCTCCCATTAGGTGTTTGCCAAACTACTGTGAACATGGAGGACACTGTGCCCAATCCTGGACTACCTTCGACTGCAACTGTAGTGAAACTGGTTACACAGGCGCCACCTGTCATGACTGTGAGTACACACCGTACACCCACAGTGTGTGGGCACAGCTCAAGGAATGCAGTGTGGGGACCCCAACCATTCAACATAGTGCGGACACTGCTTATTCCTCTAGCATGAACTTTCCAATAGGATGTTATATCCAAATACTAAAGCAGGCCAGGAAAATGCAAGGACATTAGACATGTCTCTGTGGAGTTTATGCGATTAGGACAAACAGTGAACTTGGATATACGCTAAAAAAGAAGATAATATGGTGATATAAGTACATTAGGAGCTGTGGAACAAATGGTGTTGTCTTGATGGCTTACGTTGTACTGTTGCAACAAGTTACTAACATGTATCACTGGTGCAAATAACAAGTGGCAAGTACTAGGTCTTAGTTACTTTCCTGTTGCTATGATAAAAACACTGACCAAAGCAACTTGAGGGAGAAAGGCTCAGTCTATCATGAATGAGGAAGATGTGGCAACACCTGGGGAAAGTATGGTAGAAAGAATAGAAATCCTGAAAGGTCACTTTGTATCCACACTCAGGAAGCAGAGAGTGAACAGGAAATGGGGTAAAGCTATACAGCTTCAAGTACCACCCCCAGAGACCCATTTCCTCCAGTGAGGTTCTACCTCCTAAAGGTTCTGCAATCTTCCCAAACAGCCCCCAAAGTCAGGGAACAACTGTTCAAATGTGAACCTATGGGAGACACTTCACATTCAAACGACAATGTAGGTAGACCACAAGTCCCTCAGACATCAGCCTGCTTTTTTCCTCATTGTCCTCCTTATGGTAGAAGTCACCTCATCTGAATGTTGCCATGGCTAAGGAAGGAACCCCACGGTGAGGAAACAAAACTGTGTTGTGATTCAAAGGCTTCTATTGAAAAAGTGGTTGAGGGTTACTTCTCACATTCCATTGGCCACATACCCTTGTGTCACCCCCAACAGGAGGCAAAATGCATTCAGACCACAGGAAGTGACACTATAGAACCAGAGTATTGGTGATAAGTCTTGATGACTACCTGTCAATCCTGGGCATTTGGAAAGCTTCAGTCTGAAGGTCTGTGCTGATCTTGTCCCAGTTGTAGAAGGAAAACAGAAAAGAAAAGAAAAGAAAAGAAAAGAAAAGAAAAGAAAAGAAAAGAAAAGAAAAGAAAAGAAAAGAAAAGAAAAGAAAAGAAAAGGAGTAAAGGAGCAAGTTGGATCCCCAGGTGTAATGGTGTCCTGTGGAGAACCTCTGCAGAATCCCAGGGGCTGGCGGAGGACCCTGGTGAAAAAGAGTAATGAGGCAGGAGAAGGGGGCTGGATTCAGACATGAAAAGGGGCTATATCCATTTTCCTATAGTTGGTGCAATTTCGTCCTTGTTCAGGACAGAAAAGAATTTTACCATGTGTATCAACTACATTTTCATTATCAGTTCCGCTGTTGGCAGACACCTAGGAAGGTTCCATGATTTTGCTACTGCGAAAAGTGCTACAAACAATACTGATGTGCACATGTTTGTGAAAAACTGACTTGGGGTTCTTTGGGTAAATACCTATGAGTGGTGTAGCTGAGTTACCTGGTTGGTCTAGTATTCAGTTTTCAAGGCATTTTGTCTCACTTGCAGGTCCTAGGTTGCATTAGATGCATCAAGTCATACATACAGGTGACATGAAAGTAGCAATGAAGCATTCTGGGAGAAAGGGAGTCTAATGACAGGAGGGGTGATGAGAGCCATTAGGTTTGGAACCGAAGAATCAAAGATGCATAGCATGGTCCACGAGCTGTGGTTTCTTTCTGTGATATTGTATGTGTGTATATGTATGTGTGTGCGTATGTACTCGCTTGTACTGGTGTATGTGGAGGCCAGGGGCTGTCAGTTTCTTCCTCCTTAGTTTTTTTTTTTTTTTTTTCTTTTCTGAGATGGGGCCTCTCACCCAACCTGGAGCTCACTGTTTTGGCTGCAATGGCTGGTTAGCAAGTCCCCAGGATCTGCTTGTCTACCACCTAGCTCTGGGATTGTAGTCACACAGCACTGTTGCTTAGCGTGGGCATGAATTCTCAGGACCAGATCAGGGTCTCATGCTTGCACACAGCAAGTGCTTCTGACTGAGCTTTCTTCCAACCCCAGGAGATTATTATTTGCATAATTACTCTTCAGAAATGGTGCAGGGTCAAAGGGCATGTGCGAAAGATTTGACATCATACTTCCGACTTTCCAAAAGTCTTAGCTTAATGTATACTTCACAGACCTTTTCTGTGGCTTTATTTTGCCCTCTCTGTCATATTACTTAACAGATCAAACTATTACCATGTCTTCTGCCAAGCATTTGGGTATTGAAATGGAGATTATCATTTGCACTCTTGGGGAGTCTCAGACATTTTTTTTTTCCTATAACTGGTGTGACAGTAGAATGCGTGTCCCATAAAGTTGTCCTTTATCATTCAACACATGCTCCTTCAAGCACTTCTGGCTTCAGTAGTCATGTGTTTAATAATTGCTACATACTGAGCTGGCTTGCTAAGTGACAGGGCAGTTGCATGGCAGCCTCCGTCTGCCTCCTATTGACTGGCCGTCCTTGATCTGTTTAACTTCTGTCTGGTAACATTCGCAGGGGCACATTCAGGGTCTCTCTACCATGTCTCAGGCTCATCTAATCTCTTCACATTGTAAATCGCTGACATCCTTACAAAGTCTTTCAGGTCATTTTTCAGCTTTACAAAAGGATGTCAGCTTTCTTCTCTCAAGTCTGATGGAATGCTGCTCGCTTTGGGCAGTCAATAGACAGATATCGACTGGGAGCACATCCAGCTATCTGGCTCTCAGACTTAATGGTCATCACAGAGCAGGGAAGCTTTGCTAGTTCCTCTATAGGTAAACAGTCCTCTTAGTCACATTTGGATGATTGTACATGGTGAGGAAATTCTGGCAATAAAAAGATCTACTTCAAAGTATCTTTTATATCTTTATCTCAGGTTTAACTCATATATTGAATTTATTATATGAGTTATCAAGACTGGCATTCTTTACTCTCAATGCCAATAGCAGATTGTTTGTAACTTTAAGAGGACAAGAAAAAAGAAGAGGAGGATGAGAAGGAGCAAAATGAGTGGAAGGGGGAACAGAAGGAAAGAAGGGGAATGAGAGGAAGATAAAAGAAGGAAGGAAAAAGAGGAGCAAGAAGGGGGAGAGGAAGGAGGAGGGGACAGGATGAAGTGGAGAAAAGGCAAGAACAAAGAAGCAGAAGAGAAGGAAGAACTCTGTGTGTGTGTGTGTGTGTGTGTGTGTGTGTGTGTGTGTGTGTGTGTGAGCACGCACATGAAGAAAACTCAACACTGTTGATGTCTGAGTCTACTTCAACTATATTTTGAGACAGAGTCTCTTACTGAATCTCAGGTTCACTAATTTCTCCTAGACTAGGAAGCCAGTAAGCTCCAGGGATCCCCCTGTCTTCTTCCTCCCCAGCACTGGTATTAGCTGCCCACACCCCACATCTACTTTTCACAGAGTGCTGGAGATTGAATTCAGGTCCTCATGTCTGTAGAGCAAGCTCTTTTCTAATGAAACAACCCATCTCTCTCCAACACTGATCTATTCCAAAACATATAGTAGATATCTGATCCTTGACAGATGCTTGAAAAACATGAGTGAGATTGTGATACTGCACACACCATGATGCTCTTTTACTAGGCTGCAAGTGCTTTCCCTAGGAAAGGGAAGGCATTTCAGAATAATGGAGGCTTCAAAAGAGATGTGAAGGATGAAAAGGAGCCAAATAAAAAGGAGTCAACAGGATAACTTTACATACTAGTAAAGGCTCTTGGTTGGTCAAGCATGATGACCTGAATTTGACCTCCAAGACCCACATGGGGAAAGGAGATAACTGATTTCTATAAGTTGTTTTATGACCTCTGGCTCTCTTAATCACACACACACACACACACACACACACACACACACACACACACACACGATAAGTAAATAAATAAATACATGCAATGAAAGTATTTTCAAAGACCAAACTTCTAGCAGAATTGCTACAAGCCTCAGAAAAATGTAATGGAATTCAGCTACTATCACAAAAGCTACTACTTGAAAAAGTCAAGGACTTCTCAAAGGTCAAGCCATGGCTTAAGAAGTCTTGGTGATATTTTAGCTTCTGTATATATATTAGGTGGTTTCTACAGTGATTTTCTGTAACACTATGTGTGCTTCCAAGAACTCCTAACAGTTTATTTATCTAAAATACCTATCAAGTATCCAAGGCCAAATGAAACAACACCTACCTGTCTCCTAGCTCAGGAGGATAGCTTTATTTCTTGTGCAAATTACGGTGAGACCCTCCTTTCTTACAGCCTTACTAATAGACTCCTAATTTCTTACCTAACCACTTCTAGGAGTGTAGATTGAGCACATAAAGCACTCATTTGGGTTGTAAAAGAAAGCCTGAGGCCACTGCCTGAGGAAAATTCTTATCTGCCTTTATGACCCCATAAGAATTCAAGCCTGGTTACCTGGCTGGAGGGTGAGGATTGCTATTGCTTAGGTTTATAACTGAATACTCTAGAGACTTGAGGGGAGCTGAGGTATAAGGAGAGCAAAGAGAGGATATTGAAGATTTTGGCTGGAGAGGATTTTTGACTAGAGAACTGGAGATCAGGATGGAAGATGAGGAAGAGCCAGACAAGAAAGTACTAGATAGGTAAGCAAGAGATGAGAAGTACCTATGTTGTGCCCAGATTGTGACCCCCAGAGAGACCACCAAAGACGAGCATGCCGGAATGCAAAAGCAAGGTTTAATTCTGGATATCCAAAAGCAATACAAGCCTAGGCAGGGACTTCGTCCAATACATCCAACGCAGTGGAGGCTGGAGGAAGCGCCCACCTGTCTGCAAGCTCAGTTTTTAAAGGGAAAAGTCACAAGGTTACATCATTTAGGGGTGCTAGTACAGGTACAATTCTGATTGGCTCGCTTCTAGGGACTTCTAGAAATTACTTCTAAGGGAGTGGTTGCCCACCACCATTTCTCATTGGC